GCGCAACTTGTGTATGCAGGTTACGAGAAGCATATGCCTTCAGACAGCAAGTATTACAGTCAGAAGAGGTCTTCATGAATGCTAAACTCGAGGGAAACAGAGATGGTAATGATATCATATTAGCAATAGCGAGCATAGCATCTCAAAGGCAATGCATCTGCGGTTCCTCTTGTATTGCTGATGTCCATGGGCGTCGATGAACATCTCGGTGTTCCCACTGCTCCTTAGCACCCTCCTTTTATAAAAAAAATAGTACATTTAGGTAAATTTATAAAAAAATGGCTAAACACACGTATATTCATCCAGTGGCGGCACCGATCAGTTTCGAGGTCATCAGGGGCCCTACATCAGTATGAGTGGAACTGGGATTATTTCGCGGATGCGGCCCTCAGCTCACTGAGTTTAGTACACATAGATATCCAGTCATGTAGTTGAGTGTTGAATCTACCATTCAACTATGGAGTAACTGTCCTTGTTAAGCTTATTAGTTAATCAGCTGTTTGAGTTAATTTTAACTCAATTATCTATATGTTATTCCAGATTACATACATCTTTGCCAAATTTCAGCGGAATCCATGCAACTGTCTAACATCCATCTGTCCATTCATCTAAACATTCGCATTTATAATATTAGTAACATTAAGTACATCTGATAAAAAAAAAATTATATCAAAAGGTGGCAAACGAGCAAGCAGCCATCTGAAATCGCTGAAATAGCAAAGTGACCGTTGCCCATAGACATACGCAATTGCATATGCGTTGCTTACCTTTAATAGACGGAGGAGAGGATGCACAGAAAGAAAATATTTTCCCTTTCCATGCATCCTCTCATCCGGAAAGTCCACTTCCACTTTCCATCCTTTCCTTATAAGAAAAAGGGTGGGAAGGGAAAGAGGACTAATTTTGGCCTCCGGGACGCACAGTCATCAGACGAAACGTGGAATTGCTTCCACTTTACACTTGTCTTCTGTGTGGTCGTGGTATTTCACCGGGCGAGCCGGGCCGATTCGTGCGAAGATGTTAAAGCGGGGTCTACCACTGTTGAGCTACAATATGGTTTATGACAATAGTCGAATGGACGGGATTCGAATTCTCGGAAATCCATACCCTTGAGCATTAGGCTATTGGCGCTCGCCGTATTACAGCCGTATTCCATTTTCATTTCAAATTTAATTGTTCACAATTTAACAAAACGTTCAATTTGCTAGTGGAATGTTTCGCGTAAAAAATAGCTAACCGCCTCGTGAAAATGTTACTTTTGTCTACAAATTGTTGTGTTAATTTCGTTTTGTTTGTTTTTTTTATTTCTGCTGTGAACGCTTTTGTTTTCACGGGAAGTGAACACGGAGTTAACTGGAGTGGCTCCGGCAATATAACGCTTACTTTATGATTTTATTACTAGTCGCCAAAATGTATTATAGTATTGACCACATTATAATTAGTATTTAACATTTATACGCATAAAAACTGGTAAAGATAAAGAAGCACTTTTAATTTGCTACGCCGTAACATCCACAACTTGCTACGGCGTAGCACTCAGCACTACGACATAACTTCTTTGCGCTATTCGTTTTTTTTTTATAAATATTATCTAGTTTTGTTTATTTTAACGTACATAATGTTTTAAAATTATTTCATTTTAATTCACTTCAATATATCTATATTTAACTTGCATCCTTTTTTGTAAAAGCAAATACTTTACTCAATATTTAGTACGTTTATTAATGTTATGATAAATTCATAACTGTATGTGAAACACGTTATTAAAAGCACCTTTAAATATATGAGTGAAACAAAATTACATTTAAATTTACGTCACGTTACGGAAGGCGACATTACAAAGTACAAGTTAAATGCCTCGCTTCCAAACGAGAAAGCAATTTTGTAATCTGACATTTAAGTAAATACGAGAAAGATATGGGAGATATTTTAATATGGCGCGCTCAAATTGTACTAAAGAGCTACGACCATATAGAAACACATGTACGCATTTTCATCTGCTTAACCAATATAATTTTTATTTTTAGCTATGATGGAGCATCGGTGGCTCAGGGGTTAAACAGACCCTGGATTCGAATCCCGCTATGTATTCATATTTTTTTCTATTCGAACATGTGCATTTATCCTATGTCCTTAAGGTGAAGGAGAACATAGTGGTGCAATCTGTTCATATTTGCGAAGAAATTCAAAGATATGTGTGAAGTCAACAAAGCCACACTGGGCCAGAATGGTTAACAATGGCCTAGTGTTCCCTAACTTAGGTTTGCTCCGATCCCCTCAATGGAGATGTATAACGAGCTGATGATTATGACTTTAATAATTATGTTACATATTTTATATACTAATTATAATACTCTCTATACGTACGAAATTGATACAACGATGTTATTGTAATTATTAAAAAAAACAATACTTTTTCAGAAGAAAAATACGCTTCAAATTTTTCATTAGTCTGAAATATATTAATATTGCCGTTTCTAAGTTTGACTCCCAAGTAAGCAAATTATTTCTTTCCAGATCATACATTTATTAACTTTGAAAATAATTTATTATTAAGTAAAGATGTATAAAATATAAAGATATTATTGGAAATTTTCGTGAACACGGTACCTTAGCGAGACTTAAATACAAAAGATTTTTGTGATAACAATTTTGTATAAAAAATAGGAAATTAAATTCTTGGCAAATAACTAAATTTATCCTAAATATTTAAACCCAGCATGATATAGTTAATGGATACTGTTAGGCAATTTAACCGCATGTGGTTTATCTGCGCATTACTTTATTTACGGGTAATATAATAGCATATTTGTTGTTTATTATATGTTCGGTGCGAATTCGCGATTCGCGTCGCTCGTAAAACTTATCGCACATGTAACAGGATACTTACGAGTATACCGTTTAATGACGTGAAGGATGTTAAGAAAAACACATTTGCCTTTAATAAAAATAATTGAGCAATTAATCATCGTGATGCACAACACATATATACTGCGATGAAATAAAAATATTTGGTTATAAACAATCATATTGTGCAAATTTTAGTTTTTTTAAAAGAATAACGAGCGTCAGGAACACCGAGGCGATCAACGACGCAACTATTCACAACACATGCGTTGTTGGCTTTTCAGATAGAGTTAGGCTCGCTTCGCCTATGTCGTATTGGTTTGGAAATATCGCCGAGGCACATCGTTCTATAAGCGGTTGTGCATGGCAGGATATGTCGCGAGAATCGCAATGTTGATTGTATCTTGCGGTCCTGGTTAACGATAGACAAATCACTCCCAAAATGGCATAGGTTTGTATCCTTCGTTGCAGACATGTGTGAACTGACAATCTAGTTTTTGTATAAATAAAGTAAAGAAAACATTATTGTTATGGAGACTTAACGATGTTTCTTAAATAATGCCACTGTCGATTATCTTACAACGACAAAGTTGCCACATTTACATCTACTTAGCTGCGTTAAGCTTGATGTCTGACTCGGTGCTGTAGGTGGGATCGTCTACGCAAATGACATCGTGTTAACAAAACGACAGCCAATCTCCAGTCTCGTGGCGTAACACGTTCCAAACTTTAAGCTAATTTTATTCGTAAACCCAACTTTTAGCTGTCTCTTCGCCTACGTTATTAATGTTACGTTATTCTAACTTTCATTTGTTTGATGCTTATCATAATCTTATAAATAATTTCTATTGCTAATTACATTTGTAATAGAGATCTTAAGGATCTTCAAAAAGCGGGCATACCATTTCCTTAAAGGCCGGCAACGCATCTGCAGTTCCTTTGGTGTTGCAGATGTCCATGGGTGTCGTTGATCACCTCTTTGCTCCAGCCGCTCGTTTGCCCCCTTCTCTTTAAAAAAATATATGTGCGTAGAAAACAGAACAATTACTAACTACATTCCTTATACTTTCATGGACAACCTTTACCGTTCAAGGAAGTGCACGCAATTAGGATAAAACGTATTTCTTGACTGATGCAGTCAACAGCGCGCAGTGAGTCTACTTCATATTTAAAAGCTTTAATGTTGCCCTTTTGAAAGACCACTTTTGTATAAAATGTGGGTTACAGCATTTACCATCGTTATACGGAATGTAAAGACATATGAACTAGGGTAACTAATACGATGTTCATCCATGTTGCTTACTTTTGTACTGTTTAAAAAAGTATTGTCTTTTATGATTTTATTTTTATAACATAGTTAATAGTAATATTTTTTATGCGCAATTCTTGGTCATCAAAGTATAAGAGTTAACGTTTACAATAATTGTCAATAATTTAAAACGACAGCGAATGCCTTTCGCAACTTATTAAGTATCTGTCGCCTCACATGGTAATAAAAAAACTAAATTAGCACCCTAACTGTGCTTCAAGACTT